CATTCTCTCGTGATGACATGCACATTTTAAACATTTTCCATTGGTCATATGGCTATATAAGCATGAAGCACAAGAAAGCTAATAAATGCCAAACTTAGCAACTGATTTGCAATTCTTCCTTAAAGTGATATTAAAGTCACATGGGTTTTAAGCTATTCCTAATGCTGACGAAATCACTTACAACGGATGCTGCTCCTTAATGTTTAAAAGTTTTAGTTTCTTGCAGAATCAGCTGGTCCCGTGACTTCCTGTTTTAGAGGGACTCCTTTCTCAAGCAGAGTGCTATGCAGTCACCCTTCTGTGTGGTAGTAAGCTGTGTTTCTCTACAAACACACAGGCACAGCAAGGCAAGCCGCTCTCCTGCTTCCCAATCCTTCCTCTTTCCTTCTACAAGCTAGTAGAAGGACAACTGCTGCAGACTGTGCTGTCCCTTGTGATCTTGTACTGGACAGGAAGTTCAGGGAAACTGAGCTGAGAGAATTGGAGCCAGCTGTTTGCAGACATGATTTTAAATGTTTGTCCAAAATGTAAAGAAATACTTTGCTGGACAATGTATATTTGTTTGGTCTGGATTCATTATTGAAAACAAGTTTGAGGCTAGGTTCACACCTGCACTACACCGCACAACACCCGGGACCGTGTTCAGGTGCACACAGCGATTGCAATGGGGTGACATCCGCGTGGCAATCGCTAAAAAAAGGTACAAGTACCTTTTTTTGCGACACACGACTCACAGCTTCTTTAGATAGCGATCTGCCCGGTGCGACTGTGGTGCCATTCGAAAATAATGGTACCCATAGCGCAATCGGTTCACACCTTGGCGACTCGCGACTCCGCGGCCATTCGTGTACAAAACCGCACGGATTGCCACGTGGTCAGGAGTCGCCTCAGTGTGAACCTAGCCTGAGGGTTCGTTCACACCATAGGCAGCGCGTTCCGGTCGGACCGGAACGCACTGCCCACATTGCTGCCGGCTCCCTTTTTTACTGGGCAGGAGGGGGCGTGGAAGGCCATTGAAGTGAATGGCACCGTAGCCACTCCCTGCGACCGCAATGCGATCGCCCGCACGGGAATCGCAAGGCACATTGTGTCTGCAGTGCGTTCTGTGCGGGGCGTTCAAAATGCTGCACGCACTATATTTTCTATATTTTCAAAATGCTGCAAGCACTTTGTTCCTTCCTATGGCTCATTATTGGACAGTAAGGTCACCTGTTACAGTGATGGGCCAACAGTGAGGTACAGGGAGGAGTAGGCCTGAGGGTTGACTTGAAGTCAATATTTGCATAATACAAAGGTCTTCGGTTTAGGGATCCTGGGGAGCTCTAAAATTAGAACGATGGTATGTCTGGGCACCTGGGATTTAATGACTTGGTAATTGCACCTTCACATCTGGTTAGTTTTACAGTGGACTTATCATTCAAATTCACATTTTATGTAAATGAATAGAGCGCATGACCGTATTATTTTAAAGGGTATGTCAAGCCAAAACATTTTTTTCGATTCTTAGTCTCCATTAACGTAAGTCTCAAATGTTTTTCCAAAATTAAATCCAGATGAAACAAATATATATTGCTGTGCAAAGTATTTCTTTACATTTTTGATCAAACACTTACAGTCTTCATTTTTTCTAATAGTTGGCTCCAACTCTCTCAGCTCAGCTACTCTGAACTTCCTGTCCAGTACAAGATCACAAGGGACAGAGCAGTCGTCCATCTACTAGCTTAGGCTCCATTCACATATAGTGTTTGCGTTTCCCGTGCGGTTTTCCATTATGTAGCAGCGAATGTGCGGAATCCGCCGGATTATCGTGCTTGCTCTATTTTGGGGACCATACCCCACATTGGTCTCCGCAATAGTCTGAACAGTGCACATTGAAGTGCATTGTTTTTTCTGTTAGGAGCGTATATGCGTACAGCTGAATACGCATGGACAGCTGCTCCAGTGTGAATGGAGCCTTAGAGAAGGGAGGGGGAGGAGCAGGAGAGTGGTTGCCTTACTGTGCCTGTGTGTTTGTGGAGACACACACAGCTTACTAGCACACAAGGGTGGCTCCATAGGACCCTGCAAGGGAAAGGTGTCAGGTCCAGTGTTCAGGGGACCAGCTGATCCTGCAGGAAATGAAAACTTTTAAACACAAAGAAGCAGCCTCCATTGTAATTGATGAAGTCAGCATTCGATATAGCTTAAAAACCTTTTGACTTTAATATCACTTTCAAAAGACTTACCTTCACTTCCTGTCCTACTGATAACGGTTTCACCAGACAGGAAGACACAAATAAACATCTGACAGGGGTTCTAGCCTCCTCCTACTCTACTGAAGAAGCACATTTTTATTTGTGAGGAGAGTTATCCTCACTTCTTGCATAGCTCCCAACTGTCCCTCATTTGGAAAGAGTGTTCCCTATTTGAAACAAAGTCCCTCCGTCTCTCTTTCCCCCTCAAATGTCCCACTCTTTGGTCTGATATATAGACCTCTATTAAAATAAATGTTCTATGTAAGCAGGGCATCCCTAGATGCCTCGCTGCCTGAGGCCGGAGCGGCTCTTGGGGCAGGACAGGGATGGTTCGTGGTGCATGGCATCCCATCCAGCTCACTGACATCACTAATTGCTAAGAGCTGGGTGGGGCGCCAGCTGGAGCCCTTAGCAACCAGCGGCTTTGCCCCCCCCGCATGACTCAATGAGATGCCACCTGAGACAACCACCTTAGGCTGCCTCATTATAGTGACTGAGGGCCCTGTATATAACTGTGAAAACTGAACTAAACTTTTCATCCAACCTCTAAATGATTGCATTTGTCATTTTCAAAAGCAGGGGAAAAGGAAAAGTATTGGTGACAAAAAGCACTTGCGTGTTTAAACAATCACTTTGTGTATATTCATTCTTCATGGTCAGTGTAATAGAAGGTGTGGCAGGGGCTTGTCCTCTGCCTACATTCCTGGTGCTTTAATGTGTTCCTCTTTCCCATCTTGAGACATATACTTCCTGTCTGGTAAAACAATGTCAGCAGGACAGGAAGTGAGGGGAAATCTCTTTAATGGAGTCCTGCATAGGAAGTATAAACCTGACAGGGGTTAAAATGTTTTGCGAATCGAACCAAATCGAAAAATACATTTTGGTTGGACATACACTTTAAGTTTAAAAAGTACAAGCAGGATGTAAAAACAATACGATATACAGATGAGCAGATGCAAAGACGGGGACCTATTTTATGCGTATTAAAAAAACACTTTAAAAATATTACAGTGAAACTTTAATCCCTATTACAGAACGACATTACAATTCTACCATTGCACTATGAATTCCATTATTTTGTGGTTTTCATGCTCCGGACAGACAACTCTATATGTCATAGACTGTGCTGAGACATGTGCTAAGACACTCCTGCCGGTTTTACTATACAAACAATTCCCTCTCGCCATGTGTTAATGTTATTCCATTATCATCCTGTATTAAATAGCATGCTACTGCATTACACTGCACAGACATTGGGGGCCCTCTTTGATAAATACATGTGCATTAGGGTTGCCACCTGTCCAGGATTCACCCGGACAGTCCGGGTTTTGAATGCTGTGTCTGGGTTTCATGTAGGGTTGCCACCTTTTCTTCCAGCGAAACCCGAACACTCTAGCGGCGCATGGAAATGTTTTAGGAGAATGAGTCATGGCTTATTTATATGTAAATAGCACCACTCATTCATATGTAAATATCACAGTCAAGACTATTTTCAGGGGGGGGGGGAGGGGGTCAATAGCCCTTATCTTAATTTTGGTTGCCCCTGTCTGCCTGACATCTTTTGTCTGGGGCAACCAAAAAGATATGTGCTACTGGCCCCGCACTAAAAATAGTCTTAACTGTGATATTTACATATGAATAAGCCACCACTCATTCTCCCCCAAAAATGTCAGTGCGTCACTAGAGTGTTCGGGTTTCGCTTGAAGAAAAGGTGGCAACCCTAATGTGCATAGAGGTGCGTTCTATGTAGCATTAGGCAGGTGCGTTGTCAAGAGCCAACATACGTTGAGGGGAATTTATTAAAACTGGAGCAGCTGTGCATGGCAACCAATCAGCTTCTATTTTTCATCTTCAAATCTTAACTGAGCAAACTAAAAGAGAAGCTCCAATTTTTCTCTGCTCCAGTTTTGATAAATCCCCCCTAGGTGTCTTTATTCACTGACATGTGTTTTGAAGTGCGTTGTGGCGGGGGTTTTCAATGCATTTTGTTAGAATTTGGACTGGATAGACTTAACAGCTCTTAATACCCGTTGCCAACACATCAAATTGTCTCACACTGCAGATGGAAACGAACAGAATTTTTATAATGGGTAAGTTGGACACATACATTTACATGGGGCCCCCCCTAAACAATAATACAGATCAGCAACCTGCAGCTCCCCACCTGCTGTGAAATCACCGATCGCAGTATACAGTTGATCCTCAAAGCAATTTGTCTTATAAAGGTTTCATGTCCCTTCTTCCCTAGGTGCTGGACCTGCACATCACAAGCCTGCCAAGGATCACTGAGAAAATGATTACAATGTATCAACGTTGATGGTAAGCCCCCCAAAAACAAATACCCGGTGGCACAATGATAAACCACCTCTGCAATTTGTATGTTTCACTTTTGTACTTCTGGAACCTATCCCTCAAGGAGTGTCACTCCTCCAGCTGCATTCTTCATTGTTTGAAATAAGGATATAAGACCTAGTAATGGTAATGGTAAGCAGAATCAGGAGCTCAATAAATCTAAGTCGCCTATCTGCGATTCAACTCCCCAAAAGCTACTAAAAAAAGTTTTTTTTTATTGTGTTTATAAAACTTTAAAGAGGAGGCTTTCATGTTACAGGGCTGCGCTCACATGGAAACATGTAGACAGATTCTAGCTAGGAATGCTTAGAATTGTTGTTCAATGACAGCTACAAAGTTACAGGTCCCCCCTCCATCTGGTTTATAGACCTTTAATCTAAATCCAGTCTCATAGAATGAATGGTTGAGTCTTACCTTACTGCTGAAGGCTAGATCCATAAACTTCATTTACAAAGTTCACTTTTCTTGCCCCGTAGCTCCATCCTAAGTTACGTCAAAGAACTAGTATGAAGCTGAGTGTTTTTTTTTTCTCTACGTGTTGCTGTCACTCCTCTCATAGGTCTGCTTTCCTCCCCTCCCTAGCCTCTCCCTATGTAAATCTCCTCCCCAGGATCCCCTCCTCTTCTTTACTGGTACCTGGAGGTTCTTCTGAGTCATCCAGCCCTGTCTGAGGCTTCTCTTTGCTTTTCATGCTGTGCAGTCCTCAGGCTTGTGCATGCCATTACATATCTGGGGATGGCTGCCAGCCAAGATGGTTAAACTGATGTAACAAGACTAGATTTACGGGACTTGGCTGCATGAAAACACATGGGATGTATCCGGCGAAGTTTTGTAGTGGAATAACAAGCCCGGTTTCGTTTACGGAGATGGTGAATAATTAACAGCGTAGTAAGTGTAACAATATCTTGTACACATTGAGGCTGGTTTGCTGAAGGAGTTGAGAATCCTCACACGACATATTGTGTCAATATTCAGTTCAGTTATCCAATCATGTGAAAAGAAAAATCCTGTGTACTTATTACATCTGCACGTGATTGGATAACTGAAGTGAAAGTTCACACAGTTTATTGAGTAAAGATTCATATCTCCTTCAGGCCCCATTCACAAAGGGGCTTACGCTGCGTTCTAGGATTCAGCAGCAAGAACCTACGGATTCTTGCGGTAGGAATACCGGGTGTCCCTGTTCAGATGCGGTCACTGTACCCATAACCCAGTCAAGTACATATGCGGTTCGGGATAGATGATTGTTGCAGGGACAATCACCAACCCTGAAGCGCATGTAATTGTACAATGTACAGTATGACTACATGCAGTGGTGTCACAAGGGGGGTGCGGCCCGCACCCGGGTGCAACCATTGGAGGGGTGACACCAACATGACTGACAGTCATGTTGGTGTCACCCCCTCTGAAAAGTCGGGCACTCGGTCATTGACCGAGAGCCCGACGGTGTCAGGAGAGAGGAGGGGACCAGGCGGCATACCTCATCCTTTTGGGTGAATGTCCCCTCCTCTCTCTGCCGGCATCCATCACCAAGATGGCCGCCAGCATGCGTCAATAAGATGACCGCGCGTGTGTGATGACGTCATTGCGCACGTGCGTGACAACACCCTGTCTCCGCTCCGTGTGACACCCGGCCTCGGGACGCCCCTGACTACATGTTGACTGCTGCTGACAGATAGCCACTGTCATTAACTTGAATAGGTAGTGGCTGCATCTGAACGGGGAAACCTTGGATTCCTATCATTTAAGTTAATGAAGGGGTGACAGCAGCCGTATCTGTCAGCACTAGTCCGAATGTAGTCATACAGTATATTGTGCAACTACATGTGCTTCAGGGTAGATGATTGTCCTTAGATACAGGATAGATGTAGCAATCCCAAACTACATGTAATCATACCATGTACTTGAACAGCACAGCAGCTGCATCTGAACGGGCACACCTGGAATTCCCAGAATGCAGTATAAGCCTTGTGTGTGTGGGGCCTTAGGGTTTGTTCACATCTCATGTGCTGACCTGCGTTAAGATTAACACAGGCTTACTGCAAGGATGCATAGAAAAAACGTGCTTTCTGTATGCCCTGTTCACACCACAAAGCTGCGACGAGGTGGGTTGTGGTGCAATTAAACGCAGACATGCTGTATTTTTCGGCACAGCACTTCACTTTACCTAATCATGTAATTGCCGGTCACCGCACTGCACAAATGAATGAAATGTCAAAAAGTTAAAAATAGATAAACAGTGCTGTGAGTTATAACAACGCATGGCACCAACCCCTTACTGCCACTACACATCAGACACCAGCCCACACGCTAGAATGGCCCTTTTTAACCCCTTCATGACTGAGGCCCTTTTTTCAATTTTTGCACCCATGTTATATTCCACATTTTAGGCCTGAAAATGACGTAAAACCCCCCAACATTATATATTTTCTGAATATCTACACTGGCGGGCAGGGGGAAGAATGCCTCCTTTACAGTGGTGGCCATTGGTGAAGAATGCCCCCTTTACAGTGGTGGTCAGTGGGAAGAATATTTCCCTTACAGTGGTAGTCAGTGGGAAGAATGCTCCCCTTACAGAGATGGTCAGATGCCACCCTTACAGACAGCTAAATGATCACTGTTGTCATGCTGCTGACTCTAAGTGGCATTGGATATGGAACTATGCAGGCACCATCAGGTGGGAAGTCGATTATAAACAGGTAATGGAACTCCTAACAAACTCTGGAAGAAGCCTGGTTGAGGATGGCATTTCATAGACATTTGTAAAATGTTTGCATACTTCCCCAGCCACACAATCTCAGAGGAAATAGCCATGGCTGTGTTTTCCTGGCCAGGATTTGAACCAATGACCCCAGTGCTGCAAGTAAGAGGTGCTAACCACTAGACTTGTGCGCCGTCAAAAAATGAGTTCCGTTTCGGAATATTCGTTAGTTTCGGCACATTTTCGTAACTTTACGAACATTCGTTATGATGAAGTTAAAAAGCAAAAATACCTTTGTTAATATTGGAGTCGATGTGGTAGTTGTTTTTTTTAATCCGAAATACGAATTCCGTTAACGGATTCCGGATCTGAATTTCGTATTTCGGATAAAAAAAACTACAATCAACTCCAATATAAATGTACTTTGCTTTTTAACTTCAATATAACGAATGTTCATAACGGAACGAAAATACGTCAACGGAATTTCGTATTTCCTGCCTGTATTGTAATGCAACTGTCAGCAGCAGAAGAGAACCTCTGATTGGTCAACCAAACAAAATACGAATTCCGTTAATGGATTCCGTATCCGAATTTCGTATTTCGTATTTTAAAAAAAACTACCTTCAACTCCAGTATATTAACAAATGTACTTTGCTTTTTAACTTCAATATAACGAATGTTCGTAACGGAACGAAATTCCGTCAACGGAATTTCGTATTTCCTGCCTGTGTATTGTAATGCAACCCTCAGCAGCAGCGGATCTGTATTTCGGATTAAAAAAAAAAAATCTTGTCATGTTGTTCAACCTCATTTACAGGGGTAATATTAGTTCCTGTTTCAAAGAAATTCGGATCCGAAATTCGTATTTCGGATATAATTCGGAAACTGCAATTCTGATTTCGGATGCTTCCGAATTTACGAATTTCGATTCGTAACGAAACGAATCGCACATGTCTACTAACCACTAAGCCACTGTGCTGTCCTCCTGTGGTTGTTCGTGGCTACACAAGATAACTATAAGAGGAAGATAGTGTTGAGAGAGCTATAAAAAGGTCTTTATAGTTCAGGAAACACAAAACCATCTGTGTTTCTCTAGTTTAGTTGTCTGTTCACTAGTCCTGTATATAAAACAGACCATATGTTGCCTCCAATCAGTGGGGTCACAAAGGGGGTGTGGCCCGCACTGGGTGACACTATTCGTAGGGGTAACACCAAAATGGCTGACATGGACTGAGAGCCCGACAGCTGCCCGAGAGAGGAGGAGACCCGGCAGCATACCTTATCCCGCATAATGAACGTCCCCTCCCCTCCGAGATGGCTGCCGGCAGTTAAGCGCGTGTGACGTCTTGTGTGTATGTAATGACGTCATGCGCGTGCGGAATGACGTCATGCGCATGCTCGATGATGTCACACGCATGGATGATGACGTCCTAGCGGGTAACTGCCGGCGGCCATTCCAGGTGACACCCAGCTTTGGGCATGCCGATGTCTCCAATTGCACATTCTAGCACAATTTCTTTTATTAAAAATAATTACATGGAACAAAAGGGTCACCTTAATTTAGTGGTGCCTGGGGCAGTATGATGTCTAAACATGGACCTGGAAATAGTGATCAACCTGCCATTCCTTTCTATGGTGATGGAATCCTCTTTATTCCCTCATGTTCTCATCATTACAATCTCTAGCCATAAAAATGCCTGCACAGATAATGTGAGCATGCATGTCTAAGGAGAGATCAGCTCATGTTTGGACGATTTACCACCCTCTGGGTGGCTTTAGGTACGTATTGTGTTCTCAATATACAGGGTATAGAATACACCGTGCTCAGTCCAGGGGCTGCAGTGAGACAACAAGCCTCTGTTCCTCCAGCTCTGGGCAGGGTTCATACATCTGTTGGCTTCTGTTGGATTTACGAACACATTGACTCATGGAAAGTCTGCCCTGCTCAGACTGCCTTTTACATTCCCAACTTATGAGAGCCAGCAGATTCTTTTTTTTTTTAATTTTTAAGACTAAGTGTAGCCTAAAAATAGAACCTTCCTTTTTTTTCCTCTTTAAGAATAACATTGAAGTGGATGGAGGAGACAGACCGAAATGAATGAAAAGCAGGTCTGAATTAAGATGCAGTGGGACAACTGTAAAAAAAACAAGTTCATTACAGAGTTATTACAGAGTGTTTCATGGCTGCAGAGGTGTAATGAGGGGTCAGGAGAGGAATATTAGAGGCTTTTACAGGTCGCAGCAGGTGCGGCTGGTGGGGTCATGAATATTTATACAGCTCTGCAAGGTGTAACATAGGCTGTGTGCACCCTCTATAATACACTATTATCTTTTCACCGGCCATCTATTTCCTTGTGTGTTTCAAACCTTTTTTTTTTATCTATTTTTTTCTTTGCTGCATTGTGTTCTGATTTTAAAGGTACACTCCAGTCAAAGTTCAAAATAAAGCCTTCGGACGTGCACATGGCACCTTAAAGCCGTCTTTAATATTAATTGGACCCTGGTAAAACATATTCTTGGGCCCCCTCCCTGCCTCTTCCCATCCCTTACCTGCCACGTTTCCTTCATGCAATTTCACTCTCCACTCCAACATCCCAAAAAACCCACAAAAAATAAACACACACATAGATCGAGCAGCCCAGCCCAGCTCACCTGCCTCTGCCCTGCTGGTATAGAGGTAGCGCAGTCTGGATGTCATGTCTTCTGACTGACGTGTGTGCTGTAAAAGAAGCCGCCCCCACGTGACGTCCTCCACCTGCAGAGCAGATTGGAGGAGACATCAGAGATTTAACCCAGCGTGAAACATCACACGCTACATGGCCTACGGCAGTGGCGGAGCAACACTATGTGATGTCGATCGCATAGTTAACAGCACGGTGCGGCCAGAGATGTAACTAGAAATCTCCGGGCCTGGTGCAAGAAACCATAACGATTTCCCCCCACACACTCCCCCCAA